GAAATAGAAAACTAGTAAAATGTGTGTGAGGATCTAAGGTGGGGAGGGTGGGAACAGAGGGCTGACAATGGGCAGAGGGGGAAAGACAGGGGCCCACAACTGGGTGGGTGGAGGGAGGAGTGAGTAAGGGGATGGGAAAGATTGGCAGGGATCTGGAAAGACAGGCCAATGGTGGGCGTAGTTCAATGATGGTTGTTGTTGTTGTTTAATGCCGTTGAGTCGTAGACCCTATAAACGAACAGCCTGAGCACTGTTCGTACATAGAGTTTCCAGAGGCAAGCCATTATGGAAGTGGATGTTGCTCCTGCTTCCAGGCTTGATTTAGTCGGGAAGCTCCAGCCAACACTGTCCACCATGGGTACCCATTACCACGATTGGCACATCACTGTCACAGGCTTCAGCATCACAGCAACCATGAGTTACCTCTGTACAGCACCGCACAGACCAGTGCTATACCACCTAGAAGAATGTTTGACAGGAAGACTATTTGAACCTGGCCGAGGGCCACAGATGACAATCACCCACCTTCGGCTTGGTAGCACAGCTTCCTTCCACTAGGCCAACATAGCTCTCTCTTGGTTGTCGTCATTGTTATTGTTCAATGATGGTTACTTTTATAAAAGATAATGGGTGGGAATAAGTGTATAAAGCACAATGTGAATGAAGGATAGTGTGAAACAGAATGTATATGAAATTTGTAAGCAAAATTAGAAAATGTTTAGAAACCTAGCAAAAATTGTTGTTATTGCTGCTTTGTGCCGTAGAGTTACCTGCAACTCATAGTTTTCCTGCTCATCTTATGAGGACACACACCGCACACGGTGTTCTACCGCACTGCTGCCGTCATCAATCGGAGGCATTCATTTACTCCTTCAATGATATGGTTTATAAAGATACCAGTAATAAAAGGCAATAATAATGAAAACTTAAAAAGAAGAGTTCTTCAACATTACCAGCTTGAGCCAGTGTAGGAACAGAAGCTCCTCAAGGCTGGGGTCTACCTTATCTGAGATGAAATCTAGTAATTATCAAAGAAAGAAAACCACAGACCAGCTTCATGGAGTAAATATGGAAGCAGAGACATTAAGGATATGGAGTAAGCTGAATCCAGCACATTGTACACAGTAAAAGTGATGCTTATCCCAGTAATGCAGGACAGGCCAGCCCCAGAAAGGCTATCAACCTAGCAGTTATTACAGGAGAAACTATCCAGCTTCCTCCTCAGAGTGACTGGTGGATTTGAACCACCAACTTTTTGACTAGCATTTTGACAAGTTACACATTGCACCCATCGGGCTCCCTAACACACGCACAGAAACACTAACATTTTAGAATGGCTGAGAAAGAATTATCTGACATGACTCATGAGGGTCAGCGCTTGCTTGACCAGTGGGTAAGTGCTGTGGGGAGCAGACTCTGGCCTCTGGCACGGCCAGGGTCTGAACAGGGTCTGATATGTAGAAAGAACATCTCCACGCTTGGCCGCCCCAGTGTTCCTGGCTGTGGACTACATTATGTCTAACTCATGCTTCTGGAGAAGAGCGAACATGTGTGAGTCAGGAAGAATCTGCCACATGTCAGTCTCACTGGACATCACAAGAGGGGGAGGAGAGAAGGGGAGGCTGAGAGCCACACCAAAAAAGACAGCCTGGAGGAGGTGTGTGTGCAGGACTCCCTGAAGGAGAGAAAGGCAGGCAGGTGGTGGAGCCCGGGGCAGGAAGCGTGCTTGCTCTACCATGTGCACGAAGGGGATGACACCCACACCTTCCATGGAGGTGCCAGGCCAGTGTCAGGGTCTAGCTGCATCAGGGCACCAGGGACAGGGCTCAAGGATGACTATGCCAAGTCTCTTTCCCCAGATGTCACATGACTGACTCAGGCTCCTGCGAGTGCAGGAAGGAGGAGCCACGGGCATTTATTCATTCATCCTGTTACTGGGTGTCCCTGGCGGCCAGGGTGTGAGTTCCAGGAGGGTGGGGGCTTGGTTCTGTTCACTGCTGTGTGGCCAGTACCCAGAACAGGGCCTCATTTAGGAGGAGCTCGGTCAGTATTCTTTGAACGAGTGGATGGACTACTTGGAGAGGGGAACACTCATGAGAAATGACATCGTATGCATACAGCCTATCACAAAGCTAAACAATATCCAAGGCAGACGCAAGCACTATAAAACCGACAGAGGAGACTGGACATTCAGCAAGCCAGGAGCAAAGCTCTCTCCAAAGCCCCATCACTCTGCCCCCTCCCCACCATCACCCACCCACCTGCCCTCCCTCCTGCACGTGAGTATCACAGGATACACCAAACAGCAGGGCCCAGCTGCAAGGACTGCAGACTTCCTGCTCTCAGGAGTTTATAATCAATCATGAGTCATCATAAAAGAGAAGTTATTTTCATTTAAGGTATGAAAAATACCCACCCTTTTCTTTATTATATGTACTAGTCCTATATTGTGAGGCCATCCATCCCAAAGGGACACGGATCGAATCAGCCAGACGCTCCAGGGGAGAAGGAAGAGCAGTCTCCTCCCACAAGATGCTGCCTCTGAAAACTACTGGGGGTCAGCTACGAGAACGCTCTGACTTGATAGCTCACAATGACAACAACTGCAGACTTTGCTAATAAGTACACAGGCTTTACAGGGTCACATTTTACTTTGGGGTTCATACCCTATTTTCTCTGACACAATTTTCTTTTTTAAAAATAGAATTTTAATTTTGTACTGGTACCAGTAAACAAGTCTCTCCTTGGAGGCTGGGATTTTGAAGCTCTGTCTCGTTTACTTTGGGCACGTGGCCAAGACAGATCGGTCCTCGGAGGAGGACATCATGCTTGGAAGGATGGATGGACAGCGCAGGAGAGGGAGACCCCAGATGAGATGGATTGATACAGTGACTGGGGTGTTGGGGTTTGGTGTGTCAGAATTAGTGAGACTGGCTTAGGACAGGGAAGGTTTCAGAACTGCTATAGGGTCATTATGCATTGCAGGCGACTCAACCAATAACATTCTACGACAGGTTTGGAAGCAGAAGCGGCATCCACTTCCTAAGCAACTTTCTCCCAGGAACTCTGTGAACTTTGATAAATGTCAATAGTTGTAGAGGGGCTTCAGGCCTTTTGTTCACAGGGTCGCTATGAGCCATGCATGACTAGAAGGCAATCACCAACTACAACAACCAGTAAATATACACTGTTTTTCACACAAGATCTTTCCCATTTCCTTTACCCATCGCTCCACCCCTCAAATTGTATGACCCTCTGACCCTCTCCACCTATCCTCACCGCTCTGCTCCAACCCTCCTTCTCTTGGATCCTCATACACATTCCACAATAACAGTCTTATACAGTATCTGTCCTTATAGGACTGAGTAGTTCCCTCGGCATAATGCTCTCCAGTCCCTCCCAAGTTAGGTAGTGATTTACAAAATCACTGCTCCTACATACTGCATAGTATTCCACTGTGAATGTACCATAATTTCTCAATCCATTTGATTGTGGTTGGACATCTGCTCTGTTTCCATGTTCTTGCAATGGTGAATAATGCTGCTATGGACATTCCTGTAAAAGTGCCCGTCTGTGTCTCAGTTCTTATTTTCTCAGGGTATATTCTAAGCAGTGGAATAGCTGGGTCATACAGAATTTCTATGTTCAGCTTTCTGAGGGAGCGCCAAACTGCCACCCAGAGTGGTTGTACCATTTTACAATCTATCCAACAGTGTATAAGAGCTCCTATCTCACCACATCCTCTCCAGCATTTATTGCTTGCTTTCCTGTTAAACTTTTGCCACTGCTACTGTGGTGAAATGGATCTCATTGTGGTTTTGATTTGCATCTCTTACTACCAGTGATTCTGAGCATTTCTTCATGTGTCTGTTGGCCATCTGAGTATCTTCTGTGAAAATCCTTTCCATGTCTTTTGCCCATTTTGTAATTGTGACACAGTTTTAGGTGTGCACACTGTAGAGACAGCACGTGTTTCATTCTGGATCACCACAACAGAGCGAGTACCTCAGTCAAGCGAGTCAAATGGATTCTCTGCTTTTTCAAAGCACAGCAGTCATGTTGCTTTATCATTACTCCTCATCACTCACTGTCATCGGGTTAAACCCACCCATAGCTGACCCTCCAGTGGATTTTCAGAGACTGTAAATCACACAGGAGATCACCCACCCTCTTCCCACAGAGCAGCTAGCTGGTAGAGTTGAACCAACTGCCTTTGTGTTGGCAGTGCGACTTTCCCCCCTCTAGGCCACCAGAGCTCCCTGTTTACACTGTAACTGTGCCACAGCATCATGCAAAAGCCTGAAACCCTGTGAAGAAAAGCAAAATGTGACTCAGACACAGAGAGACAGCATGCTGGCAAGGAGATGCCTAGCGACTTGTCTGACACAGGGCTGCCACCAACGGTGGACCAGTGACAGAGCACGCAGCAGCTGCACAGCACAGCGGGCCAGGTGTGTGTGTCCCTGAGCACCCACACACCCTGCCAGGCCATGGTCAGAGCTCTCTTCCTGACAGATCTCCAGGGAGCTGCCTCGGGAACAGCCACGTCCTGGGAGAGGCTTCCGGCATCAGAGAGCCAACAAGACTCCACTGCTACCTCTTCAACTACACCACCAGTGGCCACGTCTTTGTGAAATTACTAGAGCTCTGGGACAGATAGAATTATTAAAAAAAAACACACACCAAAAAAGAACCAGCTTCAATCACCACTAATATGAAAGGACTCTGAAACTTCCCTTTTGTTTTTTAAAAAGTGTGTCCTATCTATAATACACTAGCAGATTTTTTTATACTAAACATCTCTGGGATTTAGAAGGAAGTAAATGAAAGGTATTCAGTCTAAATAAACACAATTTTAAAAAGCCACGAAACATGCCATACAGAATATTAACGCAGAAAACACAGAAGCAGTGCTGGCAAACGATCAAAACATTATCTATTCTCCCCGTCGCCCCAGCAGCCAGCCAGCATGTAACCTCTGAGAGACAAGGAAGAATTACCTTTTAAAGATGGCAGTTTCTGCAGCTCTCGATTGCTGTTGGAGGTGAACCGCGTGGCGCTCTGCCGCTTCTCCTTCTTCACTGCGGGCTGTGGGGGTGGCGCTTTTATTTTACTAACCGCCACAGCAGCTAGGACAGCAGCAGTGCTGCTTTTCTTGCTGGCAATCTGTTTCCAAATAAAAACAATTCAAAGGCAGGAATAAGAAAAACCCTTCCCCAAACCAAACATATACTCATTTTACTCTGGGATCAAACAAAATTATGACCTTGGATAAATCAGCAGTCAAGCCTCTTTCAAACGTTAAAGAGCAAAGATGATACTTTAAAGACTAAGGTGTACCTGACCCGAGCCATGACACTTTCTACTGTTTTGTATGCTTATAAAAAACTGAAGAATGGATAAAGAACTGCTGCTTCTGAACTGTGGCAGGTGCAGGATACCCTAGGGACCGGCAAACCAGTCACCAAGCCTGTCCTGGAAAGTGTGGTCAGACAGCGTGAGGAGAGCAAGGAGGTGAGACCTCACCTCACACACTTCAAGCATGTTGTCAGGAGGGCACAGTCTTTGGAGAAGGACATCATACTGGGAAAGGTGCAGGGTCAGGGAAAGTGAGGAAGACCCTCAACAAGGTGGACAGACAGAGTGACCACAACAAAGGGTTGTTGTACACAGCAGAGACTGTGGGGCTGGAGCTGGGTCACCATGGGTGGGCGCTGGCCTGAGGGCACCTAACATCTCTTTGACAGTCTCCTGCATGCCACTGTGAAAAAATCCACTTCATATAGGTGCTGTAGTTTGGGGTTCACATCTTCTCTCCCCAGTAATGCTAGATTTGGACAGAGACATAGATGCAGTGTTTTCTACTTTCCTTCGAACTTTGTTTTCTAGATATACAACACAAGGGTTACAGCATACAGATAACCACTGCAAAAGCCTCACAGGGCTCAGTTCTCTACTCCTTCACATGACGGGCCTATGCAAGTAAAGGCTGCTCCAGCAATAACCAGAAGGCTGAATAATGTTCCCTGGTGATGACCACCTCCTAATCCTTGGGACCTGTGAATGCGCCACCTCACTCGGCAGCTGTGATGCATGTAAGGTGCTTGAGATGGGAGAGTATTCCTAGTGAATCAATATAATCACAAGGGTGCTTGCAACAGGGAGGCCACGGCAGGCTAGGCAGTGGTGACAACGAGAAGGCAGCTGCAGGAAAGCTGGGAAGATGCTACACTTCTGCTTCTGCAGCTGGAAGGTACAGGAGCTGAGAACGCAGGGGGTGTCGCAAAATCAGAAAGAGCCAGGCCAGGATTCTCCCCCAAGAGGGACAGTGGCCCTGATGGCCACTTGGTTTTGACCCATGGAAGACAATTTTAGACTTCTATCTCCAGAATTGTATGACACTAAGTCTGAGCTCTGGTTGCCTAGTGGTAAGAAACTGCAATCCCAAGGGCACACAGTTCAAATCCACCAGCTGGTTCATGGGAGCAGGATGGGCAATCTCCTCCCATGCGATTTACTGCCTCTGAAAGTCTGCTGAACGGTCAGCTGTTGGTAAGTTCTGACTCAATGGTACACAACAACAACAACAACAGACTTGTAATATTTCATCTAGCTGCCATGAGCGATGAAATAGAGCTGAATACCTCAAAGATGACAGGTTTTCCCTGTGCACTGACCATTCAGCCTCTAAACCAAATAAACACTGTATCAAAGCACTTTCCCTCTGAACAGTCTCTAATAAATGCAGTAGAGACCAGGGATCTCTACTTTCAAAGTAATGATGCAGGATCCCTACCTCACACTATATGAAACAGAACTAAAGCCTAAGTGTGAAAAAAGAAAATCCAAAAACTCTTTAGACAAACATATGCGCTAATGCTAATTTTTCACAGCGGAGTCTCAGATATGACACGAAGACAGGCAAAACAGAAGGCAAAATACATAAAGTAGAATTCATCAAAAGGAAAAACTTCTGTATATTAAAGAATGTTATCAACAAAATAAAGAACTTCCAGACTGGGAAAAAATTTGGAGAACTATAAGGTTATTATTGTTATGTCCTGTCTAGTTGGAATTGACTCATAGCTGACCTTCCAGAGGGTCATGAAAAGCAGTAAAGTGCCTGGGAGGAGGCTGCCCATCTTTTTCTCATGGAGCAGCTGGTGGGTTTGAACCACATGTCTTTGGGTTGGCAGTGCAGTGCCTCACCACTAGGCTACCAGAATACATAAAGATCTCCCATAACTTAACAATAAAAAGATACACATACACAATCTAAATTTTTTTTAAAAAAACAACAAAACAGGCAAAGGATGTGAACAGACAGTCCCCTAAAGAAGATACATAAATGGCCTCAAGCATGAAAAAGGTGTTGAATGTCATGAGTCACCAGGCAAATACAAATCCAAACCACCTTGAGATATCATTTCACCCTCACTTGTTGTGCACTGTTGGGTCACAAGTGACTCACAGCTGACCCTACAGCAGGTTTTCAGAGGCAACAAATCACATGGGAGGAGATAGCCTATCTTTCTCCCCATGTAGCAGCTGCTGGATTCAAACTGTGTGCCTTCAGTTTGGCGGTACAGATCCTTCCACTAGGTCACCAGAGCTCTCTCACCCTCACAAGCCTGGCTGCTTTAGGAACATGGAAAAGACATGGATAGAATATAGAGAAACTGGGACCCCTTCCCACTGTTGGTAAGACTGTCACATGGTGCCGCCATGATGGAGAGGAGCTCGGGGGTTCCTCCAAAAGTTAAATACAAAATGCAGAAATTCCACAACTGAGTGTTTACCTTGAAGAACTGAAAGCAAGGACACAAACACGTTCTTGTTCACCACTGCTCGTGACAGCACTGTTCACGACAGCCCAAAGGTGCAGGCAACGTCAGTGTCTACAGACAGAGGAACACAAACAGGACCAGGCCCAGTAAAACACTGACAGCCGAGTCCTTCGGAACACAGAAAACCACCAGAGAAGGAAAATGCAAAGGTTCTCCACTAAAATGAGCTACAGAAAAGTGCTGACTGCAGGCTGTCAACAGCAGAAAACTTCTGAGACCTGGAAAAACCTGGGGTCCAGTGCGGCTCCAGCTCTCACAAGGATCACGCCACACGCATACAATGAAATGCCACTTAGTTATGAGGATAAATGGGAAATCTCAGAACATGGGCTTGTGCTCATGTGACATCTACACCCAGACAAGACTCAGCTTTCATGCGGACAGAGCAAGGGAGCACTGCCGGCTCTAAAATCAGGAAAGGTGTATTTCAGAGCTGTATCCTCTCTCCCTACCTATTCAATTTGTATGCTGAACAAATAACTTGAGAAGCTGGACTTTATGAAGAAGAATGTGACATCAGGGTTGGAGGAAGACTCATCAAGAGCCTGGATGATGACACAAACTTGCTAGTGAAAAGTGAGGAGGACATGAAGCATTTGTTGTAGAAAATCAAAGATGGCTGACTTCAATACGGATCACATCACATCAAAGGGGAAAGAAAGAAAATAAAAATCCTCCCCATTGGACCAAGAGGCAACATCATGATAGATGGGAGAAATGACTGAAGTTGTCAACAATTTCATTTTACTTGGATCCACAAACAACACCCATGGTACCAGCTGTCAAGAAATCAAAAGATGTATCACATTGGGGAAGTCTACTGTCAAGGATTTCTCCAGAGTACTGAAGAATAATAAAGTCAGTTTGAAGATGAAGATGTGCCTGATCTAAGCTGTGGTCTTCTTGATTGCTTGCTATGCATTTGGAAATTAGATAATGACTAAGGATGACAGAAGAAGAATCAATGCCTTTGAGTTGTGGTGTTAAAGAAGAGTAGTGAATATATCATGGACTGCCAAGAGAACAGATAGGTCTGTTCTGGAGAAAGTAAAATCAGAATGCTCCCTGGAGGCAAGGATGGTGAGATTCCATCTCACATTCTTAAGGCTCATTATTTGGAGGGGCCCGTCCTTGGAGGGGGACATCATGCTTGTAAAGGTTGAGGGTCAAGGTAAGAAAGGAAGCCCCACAACAAGACAGACAGACATGGTGGCAGAAGCAATGGGCTCACGTGTGTCGGAGACGCTGAGGATGGCACAGGATAGGGCAGGGTTCAGTTCTACTCTTCATAGAGTTGCGAGGAGTTGTACTTGACAGCAACTAACCATAACATAAACGAGTCCTGATAATGCTACAGCCTGGATGAACCTTGAAAACATGCTGAGTAAAGTCAACAAAAGGACAAATACCATATGAGTCAGCCTAGGTGAAATATCTAAAACATGCAAGTGTACAGAGGGCAAAGCTTCAGTGTGGTTACAGCATGCGAGAGAGGGAGGAATGGGCGGTTACTGCGAAAGGGAGACCAGGTGTCTGTGACGAGACCGTGGCCACGGACAGTGACGATGGCTGCACAACATGGAGACTGATTAAAGTATTACTGAGTTGCACCTTACAAACAAAGGTCGAAATGGCAAATATTTTGTCAGTTTCATTTTGCAGTCATAAAAAAAATGAAAGCATTCTTTTCTCTTCTTCTAAAAAACTATAATTTGTGTTAAAGTTTACCAAATATAATGGTGTTTCATTCAATCATCATACATATTTTGCTTCTGACAACAGACTTTAATTACAATACCTGCAATGTAAACAACCTACAATGTAACCACCCTCTTTTCCCACTTCCTCCCTATGACTCTCATTTCCATCACTCCTCCTATCCTAACCTTTCTGCCTTTGGGGCTTTGTTGTTATTGTTGTTGATTGCCGTCGAGTTGAGCGCAACTCATAGCGACCCCAGGAACAAAAGGCCTGAAGCCCTTCCACAACCATCGCCGTTTCTCAAAGTTCACAGTTTCCAGAGGCGTGCTGTTGAGGAAGTGGATGCCACTCCTGTTTCCAGCTGTTGGTAAAGCTGCTCTTTTGACTCTATGTGGTTGGTTCCTCGAGCGAGGGAGTGTCTCCCTGGTCACCTTGTTGTTTCTGTATGCTGTTGATCTGGAACGGACTCCCAGCTGACCCGCCGGCTCTCAGAGGCTCTATATTGCGTGGGAGGAGACTGCCCATCCT